GATTGCTTGCACTGGTTCATCGGGCAAATCGGTCTTAAGAATGCATACAATTTTCGCACATTGCCTACCAACGTGGCTGAGTTGCACTTATAGCCGCTTATCGGTGTGTCCGCAATCAAAATAAAAATAAAACATATTATTTATATAAAGCACTCATCAAGCGGGGTTCGCAATCCACAGCAGGTTATAGGTATAATATACTGCTCGCATTATTACCATCGAGTCTCATAAGGAGTTGGCATTTTTCCTGGTCGGTTGGAAAAAGAAATTTCAAGTGAAAACTGCCTGCATGTAATTATATTTATTATAATATGCCTAAAGTGTCAACAAAAAACGTAATATATGTTTTCTTTTTTTACCAGTTGTGGTACTGCTTCAGCGATGTCATTTCAGTGTTTTGTCATATGGTTTGAAGCAATTTTTTTATAGATTTAAAATTGATCTTCTTTATTTTTGTTCGGAATGAAATAGAAATATTTTATCAATTAGAAACTGCAAACGTCTGGGAAAGAAGTTAGTGCAGCAATAGTGTAGCTACATTTACGACTGTAACAGTGGACAGAATTAATGTCGCCATACTTATAAACGCTAATACCGAAATCAATAACGATACGCTATTTATATCACTCCTTAAAATATTTATACCGCTCTTAGCGCTACTGAATTGTCGTTACAAATATCGTAGGTACTACTTCCAATCGACGACTATATTATCGTAAATATGTTTGATACTCAAAGCTTATCACCTGTCGTACACATATCGTATACACCTATACATAGCGTGATTCACCTCTCATGCTCATTTAATCTTTTAATAATGCATTTATAGAGATTCTAATTTTTGGGATTTTAAAATTGTATACTTATATCAAATACCAAAATACTTTTTTTTTTTTTTTTTTCGTTTGAACCGACAACAGAGGAGGATCTGTGTGAACACTACTACTCCTAAATACCAAAATACTAAGAGTAGAAAGTAGTGAGGAAATACACGCTTCTTTTTTTCAAATGAACGTTTTTTGCTGAAAATTATTAAGCAAATTATAGTTTTTATTAATAGGTACTGCTTCGATATATATATACCGAAATCAAGATTTGAACGAGTCATTTTTTAGTTAAAGTGTGTACTAAGAATAAAAGACTTTATATCTGGCTATAAAAAAATTAAAAATGTTTATGTTATAGACTCCTACCTACGTATAATATGGGGTACTTATTACCTTCAGACAATTTTTACAAATTATAAAATCTTAATAGATAAATATTAAGTTTAATTTTCCATACAACTTTGTTGCACAACAATACTGGCGCCTACTCTATAATATTATAATTATATGTGGAATAAATCATCGTTGCAAAAGTTGGCACAGAAGACGGAGACGATTCTTGCCCAAATGCCTGCCTATACTAGCAAATAGTAATAGTAATAATACGTATAGCCAGGTATTATTTCTGTTGTTAGTAATTCCATATATGCCTTAAAATGTATCCCATTAAGGCAATTGAGGCAATTATTTATAGGTTAAATAATTAACAGAAAGGATAGGTACGGATTACGTACGTAGGTTTGTCTAATAAAACGTAGCTTAAATTATTGAAGTGCTCACTGCTCGTATATATGAGAGGAAGCCTATGATATACGCACACCTTTCCACAAGGCGACTCTTTCTGCTAAACACATCACTGCCATCGTTTCCATCAACTTTCGAGATTTTGATAGAGAAACAACATTATTTTATATAATCTGACGCATTACATAGATCCGCACCGCACCGCTGATTTGCTTTTCTCACACACTTTGCTCACCGACCGAAACGAGCAATATACATGTATGTACAACAGGTATATAGCTAGACGGAATAGAGGCAGTTCACAAGACCCGTCGTTCTGTGAGGTTTTTTTTTGTTTTTATTTTTGACATTATTTTACGCCTCGTCATGTCTTGATGAATCGGCACCAAACCATTCCGATTTACAGTCATCTGAACGCGACGGATTCGACGGCGAAACGTAGTTTTTATTTCAACTATCTTTTCGATTTTCTGGTTTGACGATTTTCGGTTCTTTCTGGTTTCTCCGTACGTCGGACGCAGTATAACCGTCCACGAAAACTCCATGGGGATTCGGGAACGATATTTTAATTGATAAGGTGCGTCTCTTGTCCTAAACGTCCCGCGATATAGTTTCCCCACACGCGTTTCCTGCGAAACCAAAGTCCAGACACGTAGACATCGACGGCGGACGTCGTATAAGGGCTATAAAATCAAGTCGTTTTGTCGAAAACCCTCCGAGCAGAGTATTGTGTTACGATCATTTCGGTAATTATGCCAATCACCAGTGGTCGGTGCGCGTACGTCGAAGTCGTGTTTAATTTAAATCAGTGTATTAAAATATCAATCAGTGACGCCGAAAAATATGAAATCTGACTAATCTGAGGTGCTACGAGCATTTCTATACAATATTATATACGCTCGTATTGCAGAAGGCGCAGACAGATAATTGGTCGAAACGTTTACACTAATCAAAACCAACTTTTCAACTTTTAGACTTGTTACCTATAATACCTATGTATAGAGAGTGTACATTTTTCTTTTAATTGATTGAATCGACGGAAATTACGGAACACGGTCGATTATGACGTGTCTATGTGCTGTAGGTATATCCGGTATAGGTACTTTCATAATTCATTAGGTATGGTTCAAGTCAAATCGGTACTAAATCTGAATAGCGATGAGGCTTATTCCGGGAACTGAGCAGCACTCTGCAGGTGTATTAGAAGTTATGTGTAGTCTTCAAACACTCGGTGAAACAATCTACTTGAGAGATAAATAAGTAATGAGGTCCTCCGCGAAGCGGAAACGAGATTATATACTGTGGATTCGAGTGTTCAATAAATTTTAATAAAAAAATTTGTTTCGACCAAACAATTTCTGCAGTTTATGCGTATGTAGGTTCGCGCACGAGATAGTCGGTATACCTCGCTGGTTGTTTTTTTTAATGCATATTTTGAGATCATAAACGCGGTAACCATTTTATGGTCATGCGTAAAAATAATATACACTCTTGCGATAATAATAATATATTTTATTCCGCGGTTTTCATATAGTCGTATAACGTAAAACGGCCTTATTAAACTAATTATTATTACAGATTATATAAACCGTCGATTCGGGTCTTCGATACATTTTGCGGGTATTCAAAAAATAGCTCACTTCGCCACACAGGCAAACATTTTTGTAACGACAAACCTACATATATATATATATATATATAGTCGGGTATTTATGGCGATTCAAACAATGGACGCGTAACACATTATGATATATATAAGCCGCATATAAGGCCAGTGCATAATATATATATATACCTATTGTGTGTAACATACATTCATATACATAAATGTCAAGTGTAATATGTTGTATGTATATATATATAAATAGTATACCTCTCTCTCCCTCTCTGTCTCCTGCATACGCGCATATCGGTCGTTCACTCTCGTACCCCTTCTTTGGGGCGGGGTGCCCAGTAAAAGACTTACGGAAATTCACCGAGGAAAACGGGGCAAAGGTCGTGCACCCTTCGTGCGTGTAAGCTCGCCCGCACGCACGTCACCGCTGCAGGCACCGTGCTCACATGTGTATGTATATATATATATACATACACGACGTGCACCACTGAGTCCGTTGCCGGCTGGCTAATCGTCGGCCGAATCCTTCGCGACCGGCGGGATGGGTGGGCACGATGAGGAGAGTGGTGGCGAATTCGAAACGAGGGCCCTACACATTCACATAATAATATATACGTATATATATATATATATACACACCGAGTGTGTGTACCGCCGTTTGCAGTGTGTGTGCGTCGGCTCGCACATGTTTATATATATATATGTATGTATATGTATAATTATTGATTATTGCCTACGATTTCGCGAAAAAGGGTGCTTTTCGGGTCGCTTTCGGGAGTGGAAGGCGCTCTCGTGGGGGCGCGGCGCGGGGTGGTGCAATCCGGACCGCGGTGAGCGGCGGCGGACTGCGCTTGCACGCGACCGCCCCCGCCCTTCGGCCGGCGCGGGGGAGGGTAGCATTATTTTTACCGCAATGAAAGTCGGTTGTATTAAAATCCCACGGCGGCGGCGGTAGTACACGCGAGTGATGGGCAGGAGGAGGGGGAGATATATCGGCAGGGAGACGATATCGGATGCTGAGGCGCGGGGACCGTTGCCGTTGGTAACCGTTCGGACGCAATCATGTGTAAAGCTCACGCATTTACAATCCGCGCCCGAGTGTGTATACATATATATATATATATATTCGGTGAGATGCGGTGGTGGCGGTGGAGGTGGTGGTCGTCGTATACATTATTTTGCGTCCGGGACGAAATCTCGGGATGGAAAACGGTCCTTTATCCTTTCCTTATATTCTTTCTATTTTCTCCCCACCAAACGTCCATACTTTCTTTCTCCTTTTTTCGTTTTTAGTTTTTTTTCCCCCTTTCCACCCCGCCCGGGAATAAAGAGGAGTTTCCTTTTTATCGGACGGCAATATAACCTCCGCTACCCACTTCCTCAGCACCCGTCGGCCAATATATATACACGTTTTCTTTTGCCGCCGAAGACGGGATTGCTTTTCGATTGGCCCACCATAACCGACTTTTTTTTATTTTTAAGTTTTTGCAACGTGGCTCTCCTCCCACACGAGACACCTAACTGACTAACCCCATCACCGCATAATATTATATATCATCGTATACGCAATTCTCGCGTATCATAACACGACTGTATTATGGTATTTATGTGAATATTATTATTATACGTCCCGAATCGTTGTGAGTTATCAAACGGTTGCAGACTTGTATGCCAAAAAAACATTGGTTCTTTTAACCATCGCTTTTTGTTTTACCAATACACTATAATGTTAATATTTCATGCTAATTTGGTCGGATTCATTTTGTATCAAACTTAGTTATATAACTTTTTAACAAAATTACAAAACGCTGTCATTCAATTAATCACATTTTACTCCACTATTATAGGTGCCAGTTATAACTGTTTACAATACCGACAGAAGTTCTAAATTTTAAACTTATATTAACATGACGACATCGCGTTCGCCTTGACTGGATGTGTAGCTGCTGTTGTATGCCTGAAAAAAACTAACCAGCGATACATTATTAAATAACGACAACAACAGTACCTATAGGTATTTTAGAACTTTAGTGAGAATATAATTAACACATAACTCAACTTATGGTTTGATGTACGTTCGTGGGAAGAACGAGTGCGTCTTCATAGCTGAACTTTAAATCACAGTGATCATAATATGGCAAACAAACGGTTCTGAACAATGTACGCAAGTGCTGAAAAAAATAACTCAAATTATTAAAAGTGTTAACAGCCAGACAAATCGTTTGCTGAACAAATGACTATAAAGTCGGTTCAACATATCACCGTCGTCGTAATGCGTTGGTCATAGTGTAAGTATCAAAAAATGATCAATGTGATTTCTTTGGCGTTACGTCTCCGATCAACCTGTGAAAAACAAACATAACTATATAACTTAGATAATATTTTGTCCAAAATAACATTGTAGTTTTCTTATGCTTTTATTATAGCATTGTTAAAATAAATCTTTGAGTTCGTTTATGTAGATTTAGAATAGAATGGTTTTCAAAAGGCCCATATTGGTGCCTAAAAAGATTCAACAAATTGAAACGAACCCTCCATAGCTACGTGTCCATAATTAATGAGTTACATAATATTCGGCCAAATACCAAATGCGTGAATACAATGTATTATATAATATGAAGTTACATAACAAATAATAACGGTAATTATATCTAAGGTTATAATCAAGTATAAAAAATATATTTCAACTTTCAAAAAAATATTTAAATATTTCAGTTTCTAATCTTGTTAATTGACCATTCGGGGCGGTGTAAATGGAATCGTATAAATTATTTAAATGTATGTTAAATTAGTTAAAAACTTAGAAAATACGAACTCTTATAACAAAATTATTAAAATATAACTGAAAAATATATGAATAATCCAGGCATTATGTATATTTTAAACAAATATAGTTATGATAACATTTTTGTGGAATTTTTCCTTATAATTATACATTAGGACACAACATACTCAATTAGTAATACGTGAACAAGTCGATATATTTAAAATTTGTAGTTAATACTCTATTATATTAACACTAAGTAGGTACTGCTTTATTACTTGCTCTGTTGAACCTATAATATTGTTGCGGTTGTACCGAGTGATTAGTTTTTTTCCGGAGATACATCTAGTTTGGAGTGGTTACTCCGTCTGCTGAAAATTGAATGCGATTGTATGCTTGGTATTATTTTTCATAAAAAAAATTTAATTAAGTTAACTGTTAATAATCGTGTGCCTGTGTCTAGTAATCAGTCGCCAACTTGAGTCCATATATAGTGCTATTCGATTTCGTAGGCAAACAGGTGAATGTCAATCAAATGAAATATAATACCTGTCTGTACGTAGCACGTACGAGGAAACCCACAAAAATAGATAACAGACATAATCAATATATTTTTTAAATACCTAATTTTTCAGTACGTTACTAATTATTATAGGTCCCCCGGATGTTTAGGAATACATCGTGTCTCTAAAATCGTATAATATTCAAAACCCAAACCAGGAAATGGTTAAAAACGATCTAATTCAGAAAAAAATCGAACGAGTCCCACAAAAAGATAGATACGGGAATGCACCATATATAATGGTGTAGAGAGAGAGAGAGAGAGAGAGAGAGTGAGAGAGAGAAAAGTGGAAATTAAACATCTGCACAATGTGGCCACGGCTAACACTCGCGCCTAATAATAATAATGTCGTCGTTATATGACTGCTATTATCATTATTATTATATATTGTACTTATCGTAGACAAACTACTCTTATAGACCGATGTATAATGATAAATATGAATATAATATAGTGTCGTGAACGTGTGCGATTGGACACGGGCGCGCGGACGGGAAAAATTTGCATTCCCACGACTGTCAACGGCGACGAACGAGAAAAAATCGCACACACGACGTGTAGGTACGAACTGACACATTATATACAGGCAGCTGTAGTTGTGATGATAATAAATAATAATAATAATAGTAATAATAATGACCAGCGCGTCTCCAACCATGGACGTTGCGATGTCGGCGGACTGGCGATTTTTTTCCGCAGCCTCGTCCGACGGTCGCCGCCGTCGTTACGCACCGGTGGGTGGTCCGTCACGTTTCGTTCCGGCACACGGAAATTAACCCGAACAGATCCGATTCGTCATTATCATTACCATCATCACACCCTGTTTATTATTATTATTAAATTATATTATATCGACACACACACAGACCGTGTTCGATTGCTACGAGATATTCTATTTTTTGTTGTTGTTATTATTATTATTATTATTATTTTTTCATCGTCCCTACTTTACCTCACACGTTTCGACCGTACACCATAATAATATAATATAATATAATAATAATAATAACAATAATATATATATCGTATTGTGTCGACTCCGGTGTCTGTCCGTTTACAGTCCGTTCGTCACAACTTCGTAGGTTATAAATGATTACAGTTGTACATATAACTCGCCCCCCGGTTTGGGCCATTGCCGTTGTTATTACTAGAGATATATAATATATAAACTATAAAGTACTCTTCTGCGTTTACGTGTCTGGCCAGTTGACTAGTAATAATGACCATTTCCATTTCCTGTCCGGACGGCTCTAAAGAAAATCGAAAAACTGTATACACCTACACTATATACATTTACGATATATCTATGTACCTATTGATATTATATCAATGATATATATGACGTGCCGCGTGTGTACGAATGTAAATATTACAAGACAAAATCTTAAAGACGAACCATATACTTGCATATATGGCAGACAAATAAAATGTATACGAAATTACTAAGTATATATCTATATCTCTCCATCGCGTAATTATGCGTTAAATGTCGGCCTTTATACGTCACAATGAGATGTAATTTCTATGAATAGTAATTAAAATTAAAAATAACATTGGCATACTCGAGTGAAATGTTCAAATAGTGATGAGAAAATGCAAAACGCCTAATTATAATGTATAGCTGTTGTGCCTTCATCTTATGCTGGGTAACGATATTGAGTGTTGTTTAGTGAAAATAGAAAAAATTAATGTAATGTAAATTAAAATAATTATTATCTCATTGTACATAAATAAATATTATAAACAAAATAACAGTGCAACTTAATCATCAGTCATCACATATGATGTCGTGAACGAAGACTTTTCAATCAATTTTTTTCACACTTTATAGAGACAAGGTGTTTTTTAGATGACATATTAAACAATTATTTACAAAATACAAAAACCTGGTGTCGGAGTTCTGATAAATTCGTGTCCTCCCGACGACGATTGTTAAACTTAAAATATTTTATGTACCCTAAGCTATGCCGAGAAAATCAAAAATGACTTCTTCCGAGTCAATTATCGGTAAGCGATTTCAAAACAAACAATAATCGAAGGGAAATGAAATAGAAACATGTTTCACTTCATAGGCGTAGTGTGATGAATTTATATGTAGAGCTATAGACTATTATGTTTCTGGTACAGAACATCTATACTTATACTGAATTAAATTATTATGAAAATATAACTAAACAAAAGTACAGGGCCAATTCTACGCCTATGTCTCACTTTCCAAAGACTAAAATTAAATGTAATCATAAATTCTGACTCGTCCGGAGTTTAAGTACAATACTAAAATTTACAGTGTGTGTCTTATGTGATTGTACGGACGGTTTTTAACGATTATGGATCGATGATATGAATTTCGAAAAAACAAAAAAAAAGACTTAACACCCGGTTTAATACGTTACATAAATAAATGGAAAATACTATAAAAATAATTCTCAGGGACGAATACCCTTTAACAAGGGTTTTAATGGTCCACCATGGTTTTGTACGAAATACCTACTACAATTTCACTTCCTGGCATCATCAAATACTGAATTCCTTTCGTACACAGCTTATATAATTGTTCAGAAATACGTATAAAAACTTACCTATGTAGGTACTAGTAGTTATATAAGTGTTTCGTTCATCATGCTTAAACCCTTAATAATCTAATAATAGTCCTTCATAATAAAACTTGGCTAAAATGATTATGTAATTTTGAAAAATTTAAAATTCAAACGTGACGTTTTTAAATTATTTTACTTAATTAAACTATTTAGGTACTTTTTTTTTAGAATCTGAAGAGAGAGATAAACGTATTGATTTGATATAATATGTTCTTTTTTTAGTCTAAAGACGCTTTTTCTGGTAAGAAACATGCTGGGATTTTCAAGTTTGAAGATTGGTACAGCCGTACAGGTAAAAAAAGTTGGTACATCACAGGGTCAAAATTAAAAATATCCAATACTTTTTTAAATAACCATGAAAATATAAAGAAAAAACAGACATTTTAAACCAGTTTTTTATATAATCAATTTTGTTTTTTTAGTGTAACTCAAAATCCAATTACTGTTGAAACTTGAATCATTTAACTTTATTAATGATTTATAATATGTATGATTTTTGTTATAAGCATCTGAAATTGAAATATTGACAAAATTTTTCGAATTTACGAAAATTCAAAATTTGGGAATTGTTTTTTAGTTAAAAATGTACTACATTTATATAGGAAAGGCTTGGGAATGTAGTTCTATTTTTTTCAGATCTTCTTTATACTGTAACCAAATAATTGAGTAAACATATCGACACAATTTTTTCCTTAGAAAATTTCAGTTCAAATTTGTAAGTGATAGATTTTTAAAAGAAGAAAAACGGCTTTATTTATTTTGTTGCAATTGAAAAATATTATTCATGGGTCGTACTTGAAGCTTCTAACGTGTACAACTGATTACTATATTTTAAACGCACAACGACATTTTCAAAATAAGCATTGTTATAGGCAAAAACTAATTCAACCTTCCGTATTACGAATAATTGTAAAATAAATTACGATGATAGCAATACCAATATTAATATAATAGATCTCAAAATAAACTTAAACTGACGGACAGTCTCCGTTTGCATTGAATCGTTTTATTTTCGAAAAATGCAATAATTCATCATTGAATTCAAATTTAACACATCCATTAAACCGACCTACTCAAGGTTTAGAAGTACACTCGATACCCATACAGTACAAGTAATGTAAGGTTACTTACGTTCCCCAACTGGATGTTAACTGTATAATGATCGTAGGTACGGCCTAAGCTATATATTTTACTTGTAAAATTGATGACACATATTATATTATGTGGACTGTATACCTACCTAATTGAATTATTAATGAATCATATGAAATTCGTGGCAAGTGAATCTCAAATTCTCAATCGATTATTTTAAACATAAAATCCACACGTCTTATTATTTATTGTGATTTGTATTACTGCTCGATCGGATGCGCGCAACGAGATATATATTTTATCAAACGAGCGGTACCCATAGCGATAA